AAAATTTTAATTCTCTTAATTTATACAAAAAAAAGTATTAGATCTACAATTTAACAAGGTTTTATAAAAATATTTCTATATAAAGTAGCTTTTATAAAAATGATTATTCACTTAATCTACAATTTAACAAGGTTATTGAAAATACACTATTCATGTGTTTTAATTTAATTTCCAGTATTATTAATTATAGTACTTTGAAATTTTAAATATTGTTAAATTAATAGTGTTATATGGTTGATTAAATTACTAGTGTTTCTATATAAAGTATTAGATCTAATGTCGATGAGAGTCATTGATACCATAAATCTAGGAGATAAAAGAGAGAGAAATGCGAATCTCTTAAATTAACGAGGAAGAATAAAGTATAAAAGGTTTACTAATAACATAAAAAAAAGTAAATAAATATTTAGATTGTTAATCAACTTATATATGTATTTTAAAATAGTTAAGGTCGAAATTAATAAACTCGGAATGTATTCTCTTTGGTTCATTCCTTCTTCTTCTTTTTTCTTTTATTTATTTATTTATTTTTACTTTTTTCTTGTGATTATTTTTGTGTTCCTCTTTTAGTTATCGGATATAAATTCTTTTTAGAAATTTTTATTATCTATCTAAATTTTTTAGTTCAATTTTTATTTTTTTCATGCTAGTAAGTTATAGAAAAATAACACTTTATTTAGAATAAGTATATTTTTTGCTCTGATATATCTCTTAATTCTCTATCTTTTAGTTTATTGTGGAAGTAATGGACACTTTTGAAACTACAAAGAATAATTAAAATTAATATTTTTTAATTGTGAGCTAAGCTCGATAAATATGTTAAATTTTAGTTTCTATAATGTTTTATTTGAATAAAATTATTTAATATATAGAATTATACATGTAGGAAGGACTTTTAACATATATATAGAGGTACAAAAGGAAAGCATGAGTGCAAAAAGAAAACCCTCCTCCTCATGGTTATGATTTGAGCCCACGTGTCTGCTGTCTGCAGTTGTTTTTGTTTGGGAGTGTTTCATCCTACACCTCCAAGATCTCATCCTGCACCTCCAAAAATTCCACTTTTAACCTTCTGACATCTCATCATCATCCTGCACCTCCAACTTTTTCAAAACTTTATTTTTAACTCTAATAAATATTTTTCCATTTTCTTTTTTTTTTATTAAAAAAATCTTCACTACCTTAATAATAATTTAATTTAATTTATTTTAAAATTTAAATATTATTTAAAATAATTTTTTATTTTAATAATTATTAAAATATAATTTATATTATAATAATAATTATATTAAAAACATAAAAATAAATTAATAAAAATAATAATAATAATAATAATAAATAATAATAAAAATAAATTTGATTTAACATATTCAAATATATTAAATTATAATAAAATATTAAAATAAATTAAATAATTATTAAATTTTAAATAAAAATGAAAATTTTAAAAAGCTTATTTATATATTAAAATCTATAAAATATGTTAATACTTTTCTTTTTATTTAAAATTTAATAAATATTAAACTTAAATAAAAATTATAATATGTACTTATTATATTTTTATATTTTAATAATTAATAAATATAATTTATATTTTTAAAATAGTTTTATTAAGAAAATTGAAAAATAATAACTAAAATAAAAATAAAAATAAAAATAAAAATAATATTTAAAATCATATTTAATATATTTAAATATATTAAATTATATTAAAATATTAAATTAAATTTAATAATTATTAAAATTTAAGAAAAACAAAATTTTGAAAATTTGTTAATCGGATATCGATATCCGATGAGTTATAAATCGGATATCCATATCCGATAAAGAAGGGTTTTTAAAATTTTATTTTATATATAAATTTTAATAATTATTTAATTTAATTTAATATTTTAATATAATTTAGTATATTTAAATATTTTATTTAATATAATTTTATTTGTTATTTGACAAATAACTGTTTTAAAACTTTGTTTATTATTTAAATTTTAATAATTATTTAATTTAATTTAATATTTTAATATAATTTAATATATTTAAGTATATTAAATATTTTATTTAATATAATTTATTTTTTTGTTATTATTTTTAGTTTTTATTATTTTATTATTTTATTTTTAATATAATTATTATTATAACATAAATTATATTTTAATAATTATTAAAATATAAAATTATATTAAATAATATTTAAATTTTAAATTTAATTATTATTAAGGTGATACAGAGTCTTTTTAACAAGAAAAAGAAGAAAATAAAAATATATTTATTAAAATTAAAAATAAATTTTCTATAAAGTTAAAGGTGTAGGATAATGATGAGATGTCAGAAGGTTAAAAGTGGAATTTTTGGAGGTGCAGGATGAGATCTTGGAGGTGTAGGATGAAACACTCTTTGTTTGGATCATTCGCCCAGTTTTACTATTTTTTATCATATGTAAAAAATAACAAAATTAGTCTAATAATAGTATAAATTTTGGTTTTAGTTTGGGTAAGGACTTTTATTTTTTTATTTTTCAATATTTAAAATTATTTTTAAAATTTTTATTGTTAATTTCAAGATAGATAAATAGTATTTAATAAAGGATTGAAATTTGTATCGTGTTATCCAGTAGTATTAGATTACAAGAGGTGTTGAATGGGGTGGTAATTAATCTTTTTCTTCAACATTTAACAATTACTATGGATAAAAAATATTCTTTTTAATTTAAATAGGTTATTTAGAAATGAAAATTAAAATATACCCATTTTATAAAATAAAAATTATAATTAAGTTATTTTTAAATTAATAATTAATTAAAAATAGTTAATTGTTTTTATACTATTGAATTTAATTTTTGAATGATGCTGATCAATACTATGGTGGGTAGAGGAAGTTCTTATAAAAGTCTGTGAACATTTTGGAGTACATGGATGAATGGAGATACGATTTCTTTTATATTGTGAATCTAATTTTACAAAATTAACCTATCAAGTGAAATCTTTAGCATCGTGATTAAAATATATGTAATAATTACTGTTATTATTTTACCAGATTAATGAATAACTGATAGATACAGTATATAGTATAACTAATATAATTTCATCAATCCATATTTTCAAATTAAAGTTATATTACCATGATATATATAAGAAGTATTTTAAATAAAAATAAAATTTACACCAATACTTGACTTGATAATTCAATGAGACGTGGGCTTTTCTATGATTATAAGTTATGCAATAAATATATAAAATATAAATTATGTGAAATATATAGAATTAAAGTTAGTTATGAGATGATAAATGAATATTTTGTGAATGTATAGTGAAATCTGTAAAAGAAATATTTTATTTTATCCAATTTTTAAATTTAAATAACATATACTAAAACATCTAATAAAAAAACTAAATGATAATTACATATTTGAAATGTTATAAATTATAAATATTATATGGTTTAAATTTACCATGAAGTTAGGATTTTCGTATTTAAAGTGATTAAGTGACTCTTGTGAATATTTACATATACATAAATAAGTGTATTATAAAAAGATGTATATATACACAATGAATGAAATGATGGTAAAATTGTCAAAACAAACCATCCCATTTCTTATGGGTTAGTTATTTACTAAGTCAATATAACTAGACTTATTTATTAACGAATTTAAAAATTTTGAACTTAATTTGACCTATCACATATTAGTAGGATAAACACTTTAACTTTTCTAATTCTAATTTTTTTCTTCAATTAAAAAAATACAATTTTTTCCTAATTGAAACCTAAATAAAGTTCAATCCAAACTAATGCTAAACTTCAAATACAATTAAAAAAAAGAAATACAATATAATTCAAATACATTTAATGATATAAAAGCATTTAGGGTTTCGTTTTTTTTTCATATAATTTAATATTTAGAAATTATGAGTGGGTTGTAAATCAACCTGACTCACCACAGGTTTAACCTAGATAAACTGAATTCTTAGTGGATTGGTTCATTTTGATCTGTGTGTTGCAATTTTTTTAATCTAATTCAACGTAGTGAACCAAGTTGACTCGTGAGTTTTAATTTATTTTGACAATTATAAATAATATAATACAATTTGTTAAGGGCATCAAGCCAAATTCTCAAAAAATAATTACAATAATTTGATTAGAACATAAAATTAATTGAAACTATTTTATCCTTTAAATAGTTTATGTCATGTTTAAGTAATGATCTTGCATAATTATATACATACAAAAATTCATAAAAGAAACTAACTTATTATAATCTATATATTTCTTTAAAGAATTCATATATTTTTATTTGAAAAGTATTTTAAACTACGAAAATTTTGTATGACCTCTTTACTAGATAAACAATGTAATCTAGTTCTGTAAGGATGTTAAAAAAATGTAAAAAAAATAAACAATAAACATGTGTCCAAATCGAAGGATTCAATTAAAATTATGTTTATATTTTTAATAATACATAAGATTTTTGTATGAAGAATTAAAGATTCCACACAGAATACAACAAGTTAAAGACGTCAGATTATTTACTAATTCAGTCCTTAATTTTCATCTGGGTAGACGAGTGAATCAACATGATCTACCACGGATACAATTCAGACAGGATCCATTGTTGTCAGTACAATCTTATTTAACGCAAATTACCAAATAAAAGACACTCATTTTCATGTTCCTAATACATGTAAGATAATTGTAGAAGCATAAGCAATTGTTTGAAATACTGAAACAAGACGAAGATCGGTGTTTTCATACGTAGATCTGTCACATTTGGCCTTTTCTTTGCCGTGCTTAGCTTCATGAAAGAGACTTTTTTAAAGTAGAATACCACAACTTCAATCTGTATGAAAGGACCCTGCTGGAACCAACTGTTTGACTTTAGTTACACAAAGAGGACCTACGATAATGAATCCAATGTTTCTAATCTTCTCCATAGTCAGATAGCTATCTACCATCATTACTTAAAACAATAAATACTCAAACTTCTACCTTCCTTTACTCTCTAACCAGAAAAATTTAGAGTAAAGTGTATTCATACAACGGTTGTATAATTGCACTGGCTTAAGCCTAGCAGAGTCAACTAATTGCATCATTAGCTGAATAGTTCAGTTACTTTATTGGTAAGTAGAAAAAAACAACCAAGCACTATGTGGGACATGCTTCAGGACTACATAATCTCCGTTAAAATAGCCTTAAAACCTAACCTTTTTCACTTTCTTTGCCATTCATTCCTATCATGCTTTCTCCATTTTCTGCCCACCATAAACAAGCATCCCAGGTGGTGAAGTTGTTCTATCACCGTAGAAAGTGATTTTCAAAGTCATACATCATTTTCTGCACATGTCTTTTTTTATGTAGGATGGTATTGAGGGTGTGCTAGATTAATGCTGTTATGGCTTTTGAAGATGGTTCCGAAAAGGAGCTACAGAAAGTTGGTCTAGAAATCTCCAACCGTTTTCCTCTTACAAGGACTACTCTGGCATCTATGGAGTCTTTGTCTTTGCCAGTGGTACTGTAAACTCCTTCCTTACTCTATTTTTGCAGTTTTGAAATTGACCATGATCTTGTGCTGAACACAGGTTCAGGAAGTTGTTCTTTCTGCTGATATGCAATGTGAGAAGTGCCAGAAGAGGGTAGCTGATTTTATTGCTAAAATGAATGGTAAGCCTCTGTTTTACATTGAGTGTGGATTAGTGATTGCAAAATTTGGACATTGTTATATGATTGGCTTTGAAGGTCTAAGAGAAATGAGAGATCTCGCTGTTTTTGTTGAGGGTTAGTATGATTACTTAATTGCAGAGAATTGACTGTTTGGTATTTCAGATGAATGAGAAATTCAGAATTTCTTACCAATTATCTTTTACCCTGAGAAATGGTTAGAGAGAAAAAGTTCATTGGCCCATACTGTTTTTGTTGTCACATTTGATTAGGGTGGCATGTGTTTCGGCTGCAAAGCTGGGGAACACTGTTATTTATATCTGTACTCTGCACTAAACCAACAACTGTTATTTCTTCTGCTTTTGGTCTTTTTCTTTTTGCAACTTCGTTACCTTCTTATATATGTTGGCGTTTTCCCCCAAACATTATGCAAGTTCAACAAATTTAAAGTAAAAATATTTTAATTTGACACAAGTATTTTACATTTATTAAATGTTGTTAGGTCTGGTGTATCATGGAATGGTTGTAACAACTATTTTTACGAACCACCACACACTTTTATTTGGAAATTAGGATTTGGAAAAAGAAACTATGTAAATGGTAGATCATATCTAGAAGACAACTTCATAAATAAAGTATTTTTTTTTTGGTATTGAAGTTGCACTTTTTTTTAGGACCATTTTAATGTCTTTTCACATTTATTTAGAAATTATGGTTAAAAACAAATAGTATTTTAGCTTATTTTTTATTTAAAGTGAAGTTGTGAGCATTTTACATTAGAGTCATACTTACAAAGAATACTTTAATTGAAAAAAAAATTAAAATAAGCTTTATTTTTTTGTCAAGCATAATTCACCTTAAAAATAAAAAACAAGTCCACAGTTGCCACTTACTTTACCATAAAGAATGTTATTTAAGCATTATCTTTGATATAACCTTTTGTTTCTTAGAATTAGCTTGCACTTGTTTTTTATTAGGACAATAAACAAGTGAGATTAAAATTTGAAACACTTTTTTCTATTCAACATTTTTTGATGTAATTCTAATGGGCAGATGTTATGATTTTTCAGCAGAAACGGAGTCAGTGGTGGTGAATGTGTTGGAAAAAAAGGTGGTACTTACTTTCAGATTAACAACTATTGGTAAAGTAATCTCTCAACAAATTACTCCCCTCCCTAAAGTTGCAATTATTAAAAGGATATTTCGTTTTTCACGGAGCTAAGTATCGCTTACAAGAGATCCACATGAGCATAAGATTTTTCTAATTTGGTACAGCACAAACTTTATTGCATCTGTGATTGAATTTCTTTTGTAATTGCCTTCTCACTGAATTAGCCTTGTCGAGATATGGATATTCCGAAGTGATTTAGGTCTGTTTATTTTAGAGGAAAACAGAATTAATTTGATTAAAACAATTTTGAGAAATATGTAACTAAGTTTGGTGCCCTCTGTAAATAATGTTTGTTGTCACCTCATGACTAGGGTCACTCAGTGTTACACAAAAATCCTGGTCAGCATCTTTGATTAGCTGAAATAACATTCCAGTGTATGTATTTTTTATAATTCCATTAGGTAGTAAGTATAAATACAAAAAACATGACTTTTTTTCCTCTGAAGTTATCTTATACATCTATTTCAGAATTGCATCACTCGCAACCTCCATTTCATTTCGCTTAATTTTTAATCAAACACCAAATTATTTCATCTAGTTTACAAATTAAAAAAGCCTAATCCCCAAATATTTAAGTTAATCAAGGTAAACTTTAATCACTTCTATTTGATTTCATCGAGCATGTATCAAGCTAGTTGTGTTTACATGTACTTCATAAAAATAATAACCTGTGACGAAAAAGTAACTTCTGTTTTAATAGCTCAAAAGTTGCATTTTTTTTCAAAAGAAATAACATCAGCACTCCTGCATATCATATTTTATGGTTAAAAGTAGTGCATTACAGAATCTGTGATAAATTTTCGAACGAAACAAATCTCAAATTTGATATGTTTCTGTGGTTATAACGTATTAAAGTTCTATTATAAACTTGAAATACTTCTTGAGTTTTTGACATTATTAAAATCACAGAAAAAAGTTAGATCTATCACAATTATTTGATATTAGATAATTATTATAACTTAATTTTAATATCTAACGTTAAAATTAAAATAATAGTACTGAATTATTCATAATATTAACATTAATTTATTCAGATATGGGTAATAAAAGACTACCACAACTCTAAATATCGTATTATAAATTATTAAATATATTGTTTTAGAACTAAAGACTACTTGGAAGTTGAGTAAAAAGCAAAAATTTAAGAGACGGTTCTACTACTCCAACTTAAATCATAGCTCCACTGCCGATCAAACCATTCGTTATGGGACCACCAACTCCACCAGATCGTATTTTTATTTCCATATCTAGATCAAAATCATGCCCATTTTGCACGAGTACTTACTTTTTTTGGAGGACTTACTTTTTTTGACCGGTTATTCGGACAGGCAAGGACAGCATTCTGCTCAGATAGCAAACTATCCTAAAACATCTGTTTTTAGCTGCCCCAATATTCCCTCCAAAATACCAGTATTACAGTATTTCTTACCTGAAAAAACCCGCACCACGGGATCCATATAAAGGGAATATATGAACATTTCAACATGACTAGACAGAACCTGCTTTCCTTTTGGATACTTTACAAAAATGGTTCATGAAACATGCTATTTGAGCTACACATTCAAGAGATCAGGATATTAAATGAATAAACGGTTCACAGATATCAAGCGAAAGAGAGTTTTCTGTAGGTACAATCTACCCACACCCGAGAACAATCTCGTTTTGAAAGCTAACCATTGATTTCTACAGCCAAGGTAGATCTACATTACTATGTCAATATTTGAGATAGGCCTTACGTTTCTCCAAGATACATTTTATACATTTATCCAAAAAAAAAAGGAGGCGGTAGTCAATCGGAAGTCGTTTCAAGTTTCAGAACTCCTAAATTAGTAAAGCTATAGCAATCAAGTAAAGCTTTTTCTCAAAGGTGAGGTAGAAACTACCCACATCCAAGGACAATCTTGTCTGGAAAGGTTTCAATTAACTTGTACAACCAAGGTACAACAGCATACAACATTTGAGGCTTGTCTGCTTTGTTCTCCAGTATAGCACATTCACCGAAAAATGGTAGTCTCATCTTTCCAATTTTAGAATAGTCCTAAACTAGTAAGATATGGCAGTCATCTAAACCTTGACTCATTTTTGTTACTTAATTTGCAAAGCCGTTTTATTTTCTATTCATTATCAAATTAAAATATAAAAAGGTAAACTGACAGGCTAAAGTGTACATGCATTGAAGCCAACCGAGGACTGCAAAAGAATTGACCAACCTTTTCTACCCAGACTCTATTGAGATTTTAGAATTGTCTCTGCTGAGTCTTCGAAATATACTAATATTGGTAAATTAAAAAAGCTTTCAAATATGTTTTAAAATATCAAAATCAGTCTATTTTGTAGGCACGGTAAAAGGGCAGGCACAAAAAACCGAGCAAAGAATCCAAATTCAGTCAATGATGGAAGCCATGGAGAATGTATAATAACAGAAAAGACTGCAAAAACAAATTTAAAACGACAGGATCATAGACTGGAATCAAATCTCGAAAGAATTTGATTGAGTGTGTTTCACATAGTCCTTGAACTGAAATTTTTATTGGAAGCAACATCGGTTTAATTAAAAAAAAAAAACCTCATGCAACGTGTTTCAGAAGTTCAAAAAACAGAACAAAATTATGAAATATATATTAAAAAAAAACTCAGCACAATATCATTGGATTGATGGTGAACATAAACACATACATTGAGAAACATGAGTGAAAATTGACTGAGTATCTGAAGTGATGGACAGACAGAATAAGCAAAGAAAATGACACGTTATAGCATCATGGCAGCACCATAACGATAATTTAACAGCATTGAGTTATTTTTTAGTCCCCTTATGGTGGCATCCCAACCCAATTCGCGACCGTCTTCTTTCACTAAATTTTAAAATACGTATGCGCATGTCATCCCTAAGAAATGAATTCTACTAACAAATAAAACTCAATTCCATTCTAAAAAACAAATAAACATGAAATCAACATGCTCGTCAAATGAATCACAACGAAAAGAACAAGATTGGCCAATAACAAACAATATTAGGCGTTTAGGACAACATGGAACAGGAGCATAGCAAAAAACACAATGTTTAATTAGAAGAAACAACTCAGGAAGTATGGCACATAGCCCGACAATCAAACCTAAGCGCCATCTACATTCAACATAGGAAACAAGCAGCAGGAAAGTTTTACCGCAAATTGCAAATTTGATATTCCACCAAATCGGAAACAGGAATAAAGACTAGGTTCACACTGTAAAAAACTGGATGCAAAGGACCATCAATGCCTTCAACACTGACAATGATGAGAAAGGACTTGAACTTGAATATACTTACAAAAATTGCAGGACCAAGATGCTACCTAAGATTTAAAAATGAAATAAGAATCAGATTCATTTTGCAATTTTAATCCATACCACAAGCTTAACAGAACAATAGTTTCTGAATTTGAATTGCTCACCGTCAAACGGATTTGCTTCAAGAACATAGCCAAAGACATCCAGTGGAATTGCCTCCAACATGACCCGCCATGGATAAGATGCAACACAAGTTTATTAGGATATGTGTATGGGTAAATTCAAGGAAAAAAGTATTATAAATAACACAAGACAACAGATGGAAAGGCATGCTCAAGTACAATTCAAGAAAAAAATATCCACACACCTAAGTCATGACTAAAAATAAAAAGAAATATGCGGAAAAAGCTATTGCTTGGGAATTCGACCATTTATACTGAAACAATTTAAAAGGCAGTAAAAACTAGGCGTATGGCCTAGTGGCACATGTATCTAGAATCGGAAGCAAGTTCAACACTGACCACTTCCCTCCCCTTAACTCATGTACCCAGCTAACAACAATAATTAACGTGAGTAGCTCAAACAGCACCAATAACCACTGATTCTCCTCATAAAAAAAATTGACAGCTCAAGCTCATTGAAATAAGTTCCTACTCGAATGTGGTAGTTATTCTATTACCACTGTTAATGAAAATGGAAATCATAACTCATTCCAGCACGGTGAAATTAATCTCCCAATAAACAAGCCAAGGTACCTTCTCCTGGGTTCCTTTTAAGCATCTAAGCATGAAGGGATGCCTCAAACCAGTGATATGTGTCCTGAATGAGAAATTAAATTAGAATCTCCAGAATCCAAGGAATATATATTAATTGACAGTAATAATGAAAGCCAAGGGTGAAAAGAATATAATCTATGCAAATAGTATAAGCAAAACAAAATAAAAGTTACATAAAATAGGAAAGAGTAAAGAAAGAATAAGCCAGCCTATAAAAAAAATTCAAAATTAAACTTTCCGAGAATGTAATTGGAAGAGGAACGTTTGAAGTACAAATACAGCTACACTAAAGGAAACTGCCATTGGCAAGTTGTCTTACAATAGAAACAGTACATTCCACTGAAAGAACCGCCAGTAAAGTGTACGCCTGTAGAGAGACATCACCCTTTTTTCACTTCAACATGCTGACAACTGTGATGACACTCCTTGGGCCATACACAGAAGATAGATAGTGCCAAATAAAATTAGAACCTCAATATCAATTGGATCATTATGTACAAATATCAGTATATCATTTTGGGAGTCAATTTCAGCAACATTGTTCACTTGCCAGTGATGAATGGGTGGTTCAGAGCTTGTGACACTGTCAGCCTCTTGTCTGGATCCAGGACAAAAACTTTTTCCAAAAGATCCCTAAAGTTGGCCAACATTTTTGGATCCTCCCCGGAAGAGCCAGTGATAAGTGTTCCAATATCTTTTGGCTTAATGTTGAGAATCAGCCGCTTTATGGCCTATTAAGGAATAATTATAGCATCATTATTCAAACTCGTCAAAAAACCCATTCACAATTGATAACAGACCAGCTTGAAATGCAATCTAAAGTCTGGCTTACCTTTTTTGTCACAGGATCTTCCTCGGTTGCAAGAAAATTCAGGTCCTGATCAAAATGTTGTTCAGTAAATGCTCCCTGCAAGGAAGATAGTCAAAAAATAAGTGGATATCATTAATAAGAATAAATTTATTTACACCAAAAGTTGAATTGAGGTACAGCCACATAAAAGGAGTGATTTAGGAAGTAAGTCAAAATAGATACACAATATCAAACGTGTATCAAGTATTGAAATAATTCATACATACTCAACAATCAAACTGTGGCTGGGCACTAATAAAAAATAAATAAATAAAATAATAAATGTATACCTTTCGTAGCATCTTCTTTGGAAATGGGCCCTTCAGTTCCATGTGAAGTCGCAGCATGTCATTGTTAGTAAGCCCAGGGAAAAGAACCTTACCTACATATAACTCATACAAACAACAGCCTACAGACCAAATATCCAATGGATGATCATATGCCAAGCCAAGTACTGCATACAAACATTCAAAAGCCCAAACAGTTGGCAACCATCAGACATTCAACAAGAAAAAAGCAGTTAGGAATGAAAAATCATAAATACAATGAATGGAACTTACTTATTTCTGGGGCACGATAAAAACGACTCACAAGATATGGTGTAACTTCATTTTTACCAGCAAACATTGCATTACCAAAGTCACAAAGCTTCAAAACATTTTTAGCCTCATTTACCTAGTCAGAAGGGAAAATTGCAGATATAAAAGTTAGACTATAGATTTTTTTCTTGAAATTAGGAAACCAAACTATGAAAAATTTATAAAAGCAATAGTATTTTAGAGCATACCAACATATTATCTGGCTTTATGTCACAATGAAGAACACCACAGTTCCGGAGATGCTTCAAGGCAATAAAAAGCTGTTTTGCGTATGCTCTCACAGCTGTTAGCCTAAGGCCAATATTGCGACCAAACTTCTTTAAAACCTCACGGAGATTCATATTAAGAGATTCAAAAACTAAACAAAGATGATTCCTGTATCTAAAACTTGAAAGGAAACGAACACAATGACGTTTATCATCTGGATCTGCACCTACTAATTTCTTCAATATGACCAATTCATCCATACCAGCCTTGTACCTAGGCACGTTACATATGTAGAACAGTGAGAAAAAAATAAAAATAAAAAACTACCCAAAAGAAAAAAGCTCACTGATGATTCCCAAGAAACAAACATCACTCACATGGTGTCATTATTACGAATTATTTTTATTGCTACTTCCTCTGGCTCACCATTTCCCACCTTCAGATTCTTTGCCCGAACAACTGTTGAAAAGACACCCCTCCCGTGTGCAGCAGTGACTTCATACCGGCCATCAAGTATTTCACCAATTCGATAGCCTGCATAACAACGTCACGGCATAAAACAATGAACAGAAAAACAAATATTTCAGAGAAATTCCAACAATTCCAAGAAAATCTGATGACGCCCAAAGATTCTACCACATGTTAACAGGTTTCAAGAACAGATCCGTTATAAATGCCACACGTAAATAAAGATGTGTAACATGCTATTGTCAAAACAGACCACTCTTGATCTATTTCAACTTGGTGGGTGGGTGTGTGTGTGTGGGTGGGGGGGGATTCCATTAATGTATTGATTATCTCCAGTCATTCTTTCCAAACACAACAAAATTAATGTTTTGATATAAAAAATCAATGCTGTTACACTTTTGAAAGAACAAATATAAAGACATGTTAACAATAGCCAACCAATAAACAAGTTATGTAAAAACAACTAATAACGTTTCTGGCAAAGAAGCCAAAAAAATTCGTCAAACTCTCAGGCCTCAATACAACAATTCAAAAGAACGTTATGAAAACAGATACATAAAATCCAACGAATTACTTACTGTAGTATCCCTCTGCATCATCCCAGTTATCATGTAGGCCAACCCTTTCAATCATTAAACCATCACCTTTTCCCTGAAAAAGAAGGTAGTAAATCTTAATAGTTAAGATAAGAGCAAAAATATGAATAAACAATTATGGTTTAACGTTTCAAGTCAAGAAAAAAATACTGACATAATTCCAGAAGCAACTGCAATAAGTGTAGTGAAATTGTAAAATTGTATCGAAGAATGTATGTGATGAAAAATATAAAGAAACCAGCTATATGTGATGAAAAGATATCACACTATAGTACATTCAGTGTCTTAACACTCGACTATGAAGTAATATACTACAATTCAGGTGCACACAGATACTACAAAATTAGAATAGTATGACCAAAACACTTACTGATTTTCGAACTCCCGTTGGTGTCTCCCCAAATATATCGTCACAGTACTTGTCCTCTGACCTTTCACTCTGTAAGCATAACAAATGAAATTAAAAAATCCACTAGATATATGTTTTTCCAACTTATAAAGTAATTTTTACTTTAAAATAAGGGCAGACCTTTGGAGTACCCTCTCCCAGGCCTCCAGCAAGAGATATCTTCTGAGAAGCAACAGTCACATTTTCAGGAGATTTTCCAACAGTAAATGATGGCTCCACATAATCGGCATCATCATTCTGACCATCATGTGCTTCAGAGGTTTCAGTTTGAATGTCTGTATCCTTGTCTAATAAGAGCACATTACAAAGTTACTTAAAGTAGTCCAAGTAGGAAGATAACAAGGGGGAAATGGAATAATGATCAACACTTCTAACATATCTTCTCTTCAATAAATCTTTTAATTTCAGAATTCAATATAATGGTAATAATATAATAAAAACATCAATTACTATCTAAAAATAGAAAAATGGTCACGTGAATCTTCAGGTGCGACCCAAACATGCAATGTTAATTTTAATATTTCATCCGCTCCAATGCTTCTTTTACATGATATATATATATATATATATATATATATAGAGAGAGAGAGAGAGAGAGAGAGAGTTAGAGACACAAATACTCAAAAATATTTTTGATGAAAAATGTTTTGAAAACCCCCAAAAAATTTAGGGGTGGGGGGTTCCCTGTGGATTCATCCATACTTGTGTTGTTGAAAAAGGTTAATTTCCTATGCAAGAATTAAGATACCAAGTAAGCATTTAAAGATCAAAATGACAACAAGAAGACTATAGATGAAGACAGAATTAAACTTGTGACCAAAGGTAATTTAACTGATACTATCAACCCATCATACAGATCAATAAAGAAATGAGGAAAACAATACCTTTTCGTTCATTTCCAACCACTTCTACTTGCTGATGCTGCTTCTTGTATTTCTCCATTATTGCTTCCCTTCTTCTTCTACTTTCTTCTTTGATCCTGTTGAGATCTTCCTCTTCTTGGTCAGGTAAGTGCAATGTATCCTCCTCTAAGTCATCTGGTTCAACCTCACTGCTGCATCCAATATACATATAAACAAAATAAAAATTAAAAAAAAAATGTTGAGTGCATTGTTTCAAAAATAACTAAAGGTGATAGAAAAGTAGAGAAAAAATGTGTATAGAAGACGATGGGATTTAGTCAATGAAACATACCTTGTTAGTTTGCTTTCACCCACTTCTGCAGTACTTCCCCCCCTTGAAGTATAATCCTTTACAGGATTACCAGGATTTATTTTTCTATCCCAATGGTAATCATTTTCTTCATGTCTCGAATGTTTTCTATATTTATCTCCATTGTCATTACCATCTTCATGACGCACATGCCTATCTTTACCATTTGCAGTGTCTCTATCCTTGTGCCTATATCTATCATCTCGCCTTGCCCTCTCCTTAATATTATCCCTTTCTCGATTCTTATCATCCCTTTCATTCTCCAGGTCTCTATCTCTCTTAGCATCTCTTGTTCTGTCCCTACTCCTATCTCTTTCCTTTTCCCTTCTCATATCCCTCTCAAACACCGTCTCCCAGCTCCTATCTCTTTCCTTTTCTTGCCTCCTGTCCCTATCCTCCCTTTCCCTGCTCCTATCTTTTTCTACATCCCTTTTATATCTCTCACGGCTCCTTTCACGTTCCTTTACCCTTTGACGGTCCCTCTCAATCTCCTTACCCCTGCTTGTTTCCTCTTGTTTTTTTTCTCTGTACAAGTCTCTATCCCTACTCCTATCTCTATCATGGGCATCGCGATTGTGATATCCACTACTGTATTCCCTTCTATCATCTACCACACTTCCATGACCATGTTCCCTTCCACGTGCCCTCACTCTTTCCTCATCATAGTCATATTCAGAGCGCCTTCTCTTGGAATGAACATATTCATCTATGACACTACGAGAACGAGACCGGTCTCTTGTATGACCAATTGATCTTGATCGACTTCTATATCTGCCATGAGAAGGAGAACTTCCTGATATTCTACCTTTGTCTCCACCACTTTCGGATGACGAATTCCTATGGAAATGTGTTTTCCTAACATTAGCCTCCAGTGCATCAAAGTCACCTTTTAGTTTCTCATTCCCTTTAAAATGTCCAAGCTCACCATTCCGCCACTTATCTGCCCTGGAAGATTTAGGATTCAAATAACCATTGTCCAGACCATCTGTAGCATGTTTTCCATCTTGAGTCTCAGCACTTAAACGATTAGGAGAGACACCATCTGTATTGGTTGCAGGACTAATAAATTTATCAATCCTGATGTCCTCATTAGTTTCTGAATTTACAGTGAGGTGTCCCTGTTCAGCACAAATGAAAAATTGAGTGCACATGCAGAAAACTAAAGTGCTGGAGGTGATGCCAAATGAAATAAACAGTGCCGTAAAATCAGTCCATGAGCAAAATTAAATTTACAAAACTCATAACCAGCTCTTACAAATTAACTGTAAGCCACCAGTCTTCACTGAAACGCCTAGAGAGACTTCTTTTGCAATTCACTCATGTTCGTGTAGTGCAACCAGGTTCTTACATATCTATGAGACACTGACAGTGTACTATACCAAAGCTCTCAGGAATTAAAAAAAAAATACTCATTATACGTCCGAAAACAACGAATCGCAGTGCTCTGTTTGGTCATCGAGAGGAAGTGAGATACACCGAAACACCTAAAATACTGAGACAGGAAAACCATTCGCAACCAAGAAACAGAATTACGAAAAGGGAAATTTATTTCAAATCTACTCCAATGGCCTCTACTTTCTCCGAGACCAAACAGATATCACGTTTATTGATACACAAAAATGAAAGCAAGTGAACTAAAACAAAATAAACGAAATCAATCTCAACATACCGAATTTTGATTATCGGATTGAACATCTCGATCTCCAGTCACCTTGATTTCACCAGGTTCGACATCAGATTCAGTCTCTTTTTTCCCTACCTCGCTATCGAGAGCTTCGTCGTCGAGGATCTCTCCTTCCTCCACATCGTCCTCCTGTGCATGTCTATGCGGAGTTGGAGAAGGAACAGCAGCAATTGTTCGATCGTCGAATTCAATATCTTCATCGCGCTTTTTGTTCCCGTGGCGGTGGCGATGGCGGTGGCGGTGCTTGTGGCGCTTCGAGGATCTGTCCACATCCTCCGGGGAGGGTGATCGGCGATGCTTGTGACGCGAGTCACGGGCATCGGTAGCCATGATTGGATGAGAAGTTAGGGTTAGGGTTTTTTGTGTTCGTTCTTGTATAGGAAGCTACAATGGCAGGAGAGCGAAAGATAATAGCACGCGCGGAGTTTCGGTATTGGATCAGATTGAAGGACCTGACCTACAAGTACAACTAGTTAATTTGTACGTGCTTTCTAAGCGCGTCTACTTGTAGACCTCTCTAAGTAATCCTTCAGATTCCTTTATTATCTTTCATTTCTTTTTTCTTTTTTTTTATGGCTGAATAAAAGCATAATAAATTAGCAAGTTTAATTATTCTGAGTTATTTGACAACTAATGGGTTCTTCAGTGAACTGTAAAAGTATATAATATATATATAATATAATATACAATATAATTTTAGAATGTTTATATACGGTTATTTTACTATATCAATAAATTCGTAGTATTTGTATATTTTGAGTATACATATATATTATTGAACAAAATATTTGTTTTTTTTAATTTCATCCTCTAAGTAATTATTTATTAACTTTATTTTTTAAGGAACTTTTTTAATTTAATATTTTTTTAAATTTGACCATTTTTAACTTAATATTTTTAAAAATGAAAATAACTATCTATAATAAAAAAATACGTACAAAAAAATTATAAAAACTATTTATATTTACTTTATAATTAAATTTTCTTATTTTTAATCATAGAAAAAATTGAAGCACGTGTTTTCTAGTTACTATGCAAAATAATTTTGTTTTATTTTACTTTCAATAGATTTTGTACTTTTTTCATATTTATATTAGGGTTAAATATGTTTTTCGTCTAGTATCATATACGATTTTGGGTTTAGTTCCTACTCGAAACTTTTGTTTCTTTTAATTTTAAAATTTGTATTGGTGTTAGATTTCTTTGTAAGGTGACTAAGGGCAAAGTTGTTTTTAACTTTTTGAAATCAGATTTAAGTGATGTGTCCCGTATGTTTTCATTTATGAAATCAGATTAGGACTTCTTTATGTTTGAAAATAATTAGGGTTCTTAGTAAAAATCAAAAGTCCGACAATAGCAGCAACACACATCTCTCCCTCTCCCACCAAATTCTGAATACATTAGTTCAACCCACGATTCAATTTCTACCCCTTCTTAATTCCCTCGGGATTCAATTACTTCCATGGCCATCACCATGAGTCCACCATGGACAACTCCTACAAAAGGGTAATCACAACGATCTCCCTACACTAATCTTCTTCACTAAATCTAAATCATCATGGAAATCTGCAGAAGAAAAATCTAATTGAATGCAAAGAAACCATAAAATCCCAAATTACACTCGTGAAATCGCACTTCATTATCTTCTTCTCACCTTCGTACCTGAATAGCAAATTTCAGAAATCAACAATCCAAATTGTGAAACCCTAACTCGCGAGACATCTTCCTCCTTTGCGCCACCATTCAAAGAATCTCCTTCGTCTTAACCACGCCATGAAAGCATTAAACGGCTCCCTCATCTCCTTCAACCTTCGTCCAAGCCATTACGCTTACCGCAACCTGCGCGAAGCAACCTCCATCTCTCGACGCTTCTTTGTCTTCTCCGTTCAACTTCGCGCAAATCGCATATGTCTTCAATCAAACACTTTTATGTGAACCTGTCTTCAATCATTTATGAAATCAGATTAGGGAATTTTTATGTTTGAAAATAATTAAGGTTCTTGGCAAAAAGAGTAGTAAAAGAGAGAAAAAAAAAAAAAAAACGTGGCACAAAGTTATCAGGGAAAGTGGCATCATACAAGTTTTAAAACTAAAAGGACTAAAAAGAACAAAAGTTTTGAGTAGGGACTAAACCCAAAATCATGTGATGCTTAAGGAACGAAAAACATATTTAACTATTTATATTAACTTATTTTTATGTCAAAGCTTGTTTTCATTATGTCATGATAATAATTTTTTGGAATATTTACTTAATATTTTTTATTTAAATTACTTTTTAAAATATCTTTGAATTTTATAAATATCTTTTAGTTTATAAAATGGTGATATTTAGAGGTAAGAAAATTTTTATGTTATATCATTATATTATGTTATATATATATATATATATATATATAAAGTATATAAATAAAATAAAATAACAAGTCTTTCATGTTAGGTGCCTTTTATATTTCTCATATTTTTAAAAATCTCATAAACACATACATTTTAGTAACCAAAATTATTTTTTATTCTTTTTTTGTTAAAAAGATGTCAAATTTTTGAATAGGCTAGATTTATATTACATCTATATAATAAGTCGAATCCTTACAACAGGTTATATATATATTTCTCTCTTAAGATCTTAATCATTGATGTCGTCTATAAAAACTACAAGAAACTTATCTAAAAAAGTTAAAATATCACGTTCATATAGTTCATGTGCAAAATTGAAGCGTTAATCACACCAAAAGACATAATTATATACTCATAATGCTTGTATCTGGACCTTAAGGCAATCTTTTGCACATCTTTTGCCTTAACTAGAATTTAATGATATCTAAATTGAATATTCATCCTTGAAAACACCATAACTACATGCAATTGATCCATCAAATCATTAATCCTTAACATATGATAGTTTTTAATTATTAACTCGTTCAACTGTGTGATTCACACACAACCTAAAATTACCACATTTCTTCTTCACCAACAACACAAGTGCTTCCCAAGGTGACACACTTGATATGATGAACTACTTTTCCAACAACTATTCAATATGTTTTTTCAACTCCATCAACTCAGTTGGGGCCATATAGTGAGGATATTGATGCTAGCTCTACTTTTGATACTGAATCAATAGAAATGTTAACTTTTCGTTAAGGAGACAACTTTGACACTTCATTTTGAAAATACATCCTCCAACTCGTTTACAAATAAGATATATTAACTTATATTACCTTTCTCAACTTTCAACTGAATTAAGATGATAAAACATTGTGATCCTTCGTTGGCTTTTTGCCACACCTGATGAGACGACAACAACCTTGACTCCCCTAAACTAGGAAACAACAACTTCTTTTAACTATAATTAATAAGAATGTGATTGACAGATAGTCAATCAATTACCAAGATCACATCCAAATCCTGTATAGACAGACACATAAGTTTGTCATTGAACTTATGTCTCTCTAGTACCATCGAATATCTAGCACACAACGCAAACATCTTAACCAAACCGGAAGTTGGATAAATATTATAAGAGACATCAGGCTCTGTAGAAGCAATGCAAAATCGAGAGTATCTCTTGTTGGACTCCAATTGCATTCTACATAATCTTACTTTCGACTATCACAAATTGTTCGCATTTCACTGCAAAATATATTATTTTCACCATACTTGTGAGAATTGTGTCAAAGTTTCGTATATTTTTGTTTTTGTAAAACTAACTTTCTAGTTAGATTTATACTTTCCTGTTTTGCAAAGTGCGTTTGTAAATCTTTAAACTCAGATTCAGTTTTTGGTAAATTATTTTGTATTACATGAAAAATTCAATAACATTTATTACAGTGTTTTAGATGTTTTTGACTAGTACGATAGGAAAGATTTTTTATTTTTTTCGAAAATTTCTTTATCAATTTTCTAATGACAAATATGTGATTAGAATTTGTTAAAAATGTTGGGAGGTAAAAGATTAATTAATGTTGGATTGTAGTAAAAAAAGAAAAATGATGTATTTACTGAAAGTAATGACAAAAAAATTTCACAACTAATAATTAAATTATAAAATTATATAATTATATAATTATATAATTAATCGTGATCATAAGTAAGGAAAGTAATTGGACAAAATAAGAATTACATTATTTAACACTCATATTACCTATTGAAAGAAAAATTAACGATAAATACTCAATTGTGTTTCAATATTTCAATATATCATAAAATTTTAAAGGAAGCTCAGTTCAAAGTTTCCAATTTTATAAAAAAATCAAATTTAATTAAATATAAAATAAAATAAACGACAAAAAGTACGGGGTTATTTTGGTTTGCTTTGCCTTAGTAAAAAACTGGACTACACTAAGTGGTGTTTTCCGTCAAGTGATATGGTATTTTTTGGGAGACCACGGGATCGATTTTCCTGAAATAAAAAAACGAGACTTGTGAAATATTTGAAACGTGGAATGGATTTGATGGACTGAGTGAGGAAATAAAGAAACGAGGAAGAAACTTCAAAGTGGAAGTAATGTTATTTGGATTAAGAAAATAGGAGGAAAAAAAATAAATAAATTTGTGAGTTATTTAATTAATATTAATATAATAATTAAAATTTATCTTTTGACTGATAATTTTCTAGTTATCTTTAAAATGAATTTAACATTTACATTTTTTCAATAATTGTAACTTGCATATATAGTTAAATCATTATTTTCATCATCTGAATATGTGTTTTTAAAAGAATTACGAATTAGAATGATATTATTATCGTGTATAATAATGTAAAAAAAATATTAAAAAAATGAAAAATAAAATGAAATAAGAAGAACTTTTAAATAAATCTAAGTAAATATAGGATTAAGCTGCACTGGGTTTTAGATCAATTCGATTCAATTTATTTTTGATTTCACTTTACTTGAATTTAGATTAATTAGATTTGACTTGAACGACTCAATTTTATTTAAGTTTGAATCAATTCAACTTGATTTAAAATTCTACCAACTTAATTTAATCTAAACCTAAATTAATTTAAATAGACTTTAATTTAACATCGAGTTAATTTGACTTTGTATTAATTTAACTATTTCAAACTTTGAAATGATATAAACATATTAGATATTAAATTTTGAATATCTAAAATCTAAAAAATATTTAATTTATATCTAGTTGAAATCCAAATAAGTAAATGAAATTAAAAATCCAAAAATATATTTTAAAATTTAAAATAAATAAATTTAAATAAGCTTAAATTAATATGAATTCAAATAACTACGAATTGAATTTCACTGACCCTTTATCATCTTTTTGGTAAAAATTACATAAATAAATTCAGTATTAAATCGCTCCAACTTCCATATAAAAGAGAAGTAAATGTAAAGTAATATAAAAAGAAAAATATTTTTTAATACATTTAAATCTTTTATATTCATTTTGATATTATCCTTATTTATTTATTTTTTTTCTTAAAAATATAAAAAAATTTATACTTTTATAATATTTTACTTTTTTTTTTATGTCAAATAAATATAAAAGTACGTAAAGTATGTTAGTATCATTACTCGTATAAAAATAGTAAGCGAAATCAAAATTACCGTTTTATCGTACTGATGGAAAACGGAAGTAATTCACGTACAAGAATATAATAACTCCACAACTATCTTACAAGAAGAGACAGTGATTAGTTCAAGCAGCGTATGTACACGTTGGCCTCACCAATTACAGTATATTTTAAGTCTGCAATGGGTGGCTTGGCTTGACCAAACACACACTTTGACTTAAAAAAATGTTTACTCACCTATCACACCCCCATCCACCTACCTTGCTTTCAAAAAAACTTTCAACCCAGCCCATGGATTTCATCACAAACCATGGGTCACCAACCTCATCACGACTAATATATAAACCTTTTCTTTCTACTCTAAGTATCTCACTCTTCCATTAACTTCAATCCTACAAACACAAACATGAGTTTTCAAATCAAGAAACCAATATTTTCAGCTGTCGTATCAGTATTACTCATTTCAATTACAAAACTCTTCCATTCTTATTTCTCAATACCATTCTCACCATTCAATGTTTCCATTCCTATTGCCACGACCCTTTCTGTTCTAATCATATGCAAATTTTTCTTAACTTCTAAAACCCACTCTTCCACTCCCCCTGGTCCTCTATCAGTTCCTATATTTGGTAACTGGTTGCAAGTTGGCAACGATCTCAACCACCGTCTTCTAGCGTCAATGTCACAGACCTATGGTCCTGTGTTCCTACTCAAACTAGGTTCCAAAAACTTGGTTGTGGTCTCTGATCCCGAGCTCGCCACCCAAGTGCTCCATTCACAAGGTGTGGAATTTGGCTCGCGCCCACGAAATGTTGTGTTTGATATCTTCACTGGGAACGGCCAAGACATGGTTTTCACTGTTTATGGTGACCACTGGCGCAAAATGCGCAGAATCATGACGCTGCCATTCTTCACCAACAAGGTTGTCCACAACTACAGCATCATGTGGGAGGAGGAGATGGACCTGGTGGTGCGTGACCTCAACCTGAACGAGAGAGTGAGGAGCGAAGGCATTGTTATCAGAAAGCGGCTTCAGTTGATGCTATACAATATCATGTATAGGATGATGTTTGACGCCAAGTTTGAGTCACAAGAGGACCCTTTGTTCATTCAGGCCACGAGGTTTAACTCCGAGAGAAGCCGTTTGGCACAGAGTTTTGAATACAATTATGGGGATTTTATACCATTGCTCAGGCCGTTCTTGAGGGGGTACCTAAACAAGTGCAAGGACTTGCAATCTAGGAGGCTTGCATTTTTCAACACCCACTACGTTGAGAAAAGAAGGTAATTAATATATTTATCAGCCTCAAGTTTTGATATAGGAAACACTGAATTTACTCTCCCAAAGATACAACATCCATCCCATTTAGACAAATTACTATGTAGTCTTCAAGATAATACTTACGATTCTATATCCAACATGGTTGATATATATAAATTCCATTTGATAACTTCTTTATATTCTGTTTATAATGCGAGTCTTTGCTGGTGTATTGCTCTGCAGACAAATAATGGCTGCCAACGGGGAGAAACACAAGATCAGCTGTGCTATTGATCACATCATAGATGCACAGATGAAGGGAGAAATCAGTGAAGAGAATGTGATATATATAGTAGAAAACATCAACGTTGCAGCAATCGAGACAACATTATGGTCCATGGAATGGGCAATAGCAGAGTTGGTTAATCATCCAAGCGTTCAAAAGAAGATACGTGATGAGATATCAGAAGTGCTTAAAGGGGAGCCAGTGACGGAATCAAACCTACACGAGCTCCCATACTTACAAGCAACTGTGAAAGAAACACTGAGACTTCACACCCCGATTCCTCTCTTGGTGCCCCACATGAACCTGGAAGAAGCAAAGTTAGGAGGGTACACTATACCAAAGGAGTCCAAGGTGGTGGTGAATGCTTGGTGGCTTGCGAACAACCCATCATGGTGGAAGAATCCAGAGGAGTTCAGGCCAGAAAGGTTTTTGCAAGAGGAGTGTGCAACAGATGCTGTTGCTGGAGGAAAGGTTGATTTTAGGTTCGTGCCATTTGGTGTGGGGAGGAGGAGTTGCCCTGGAATCATACTTGCATTACCAATACTTGGACTTGTGATAGCAAAAATGGTGTCAAATTTTGAGCTGAGTGCTCCAAAAGGGACAAAGATAGATGTAAGTGAAAAAGGAGGGCAATTCAGCTTGCACATTGCTAACCACTCCACTGTCTTGTTCCATCCAATTAGAACCCTGTGATTTCAGTCCCAACAAGCACTTGGCTTATCAACAGTTCTTAAATCTACAGTTGCTTAATTTCCAAGAAGCATTTGTCTTTCTTTCTACTTCAATTGTATACACTATAGTGCCTGCAATGTTCCTCCATAAGACAGTTTGAATTTGTTGTTGTTCTTATCACTATTCAAAAGTATAAAGCATTTTTTTTGTAACCTGTCATATATAACTTTGTTCCTTTTTTGTAACATTTTTCTGCAGTAGTTTTTACTTTACGTGTTTTATTTGCGTACTTTGTTTTAATATAAAAAGGTACGATTCGTGAAAGCCTTGATCCTTTTCACCAACCCATGCCTATCTGGGACACCAAATTTCTTTCAGATCCAAATTTGTTCAACAAATTCGTGGTTATGTCGGATAGTGTTCGTCCAACTCATACATTTTTTGTGGTCCTCAGCTTTTTGTTTCAACCATCAACTTCATTATGTTCTTTCACTGCTTCACTTCCTCTAGATCCCTCTGTACCAAACGCTGCACGCTTCTCGTGACTACATCAGCCAGAAGGATAAAAAAGTTTTAATTTCGTGACTTCGCTTCAATTTTCTTCACTTTTTCAATCAATTTTAATTGTCTCAATTTTTATATCTATTAGAATTTAAAGCTTTTACACATAAGTTTTAGAAACAAAATATATAAACAGAAAAAGAAATCCAAAGAATGGAAATATACTTGTTATCATTACCTTGTTGAAAAACGTCGCAGATGAAGAATGTCAGAAAGAAGGGCGACATGAGGAAAGAAAAGAGATCAAGAGTGTCTCGCACTATTGAACAAGAAAAGAAAGAACGAAGAGATGTTTGTAAAGAGAAAAGAAAAGAAAAGAAGAAAATTGAATAAAAAATAAAAGAAGTGGATGTAGTGATAAAGGAGGATATAATACTAAAAATAAATATTTTTTATTCAAGTAAAGAAAACTCTTTCTGATTTTTACTTTTTTTTTTAATTAAGAAAATTTCAAAAGATAATTTATGTTATTTATTTATTTTCCAAAAATAAGGTTGTCACTTGGCGGGTTCATGTGCTCTTCCTTCGCTTCGCCACACCCACAGGCAACACTCCCTTCATTCTCTCTTCCTCTGTTCCATTCAGAAATGCTCTCTGCCTCATCACCATCATCGTTTCGTCCTTCGCAATGAATAAGATCACGCATGCACAGAGATTAACCGCACCAGTGGGGTCATTCAGACACAGTTTCCTAGAGAAGAGCAAAGAGAGGCTCCTTTCCAAGAAGGACCTTATTGGTCTCCATGACGAAGTCAATGAACGCCCGGAACAACGTTCCTTCCTCGACGCCCTCTCCGATCGCGTCGTTAGCTTCCACAACAGGTCCAAAGACATTGCCTCTAAGTTGTACCAGATGGGTCGCAATGATCGACGCAAAGTCGTCTTTGCGATCAAAGCTGGCTTGTCCTTAGCCATTGTCTCGCTTGTCATTTACATTGAGGAGGAACAGTTTAGCAAGTACTCTATCTGGGCAATCCTAACTGTTGTCGTCGTTTTCGAATTCAGCATAGGTATTACATACATTCTCAATGCCACCTTTATGAGTTTTCAAAGAAAATTTTGCATGCTACATCATTTTGATTAATTTCCACGTTTTATGTAATCAAACTTATATACTTTTTTCGAGTGTTGAAAAACACCACTGCTAGATGTCACTCTTACGAAAATTGGTCGAAATTATAAACAAGTGGTAGATTTAGACTACAGGATTATTTCTATAGTTTTGAAATAAATTGTTGTATGATGAGGATTGTGTTTATTGTCTCTACCAATCTCTACTTGATGGTTGAGTTTTATTGATGGCTTCTTAAGTAAAGATTGGTTGGGACGATTATGTGAGAAATGGTGGGACTATATAATACTTTTTGAAAAAAATTCATTTTGGCCTTTAATTATGTTGCTTGATGAAAATATTAACTTTTTGTTTTCCCTTTTTATTGTTGTGGTAATGTGGGAGTGTAGGTGCAACCCTGAATAAAGGTTTCAATCGGGCTTTGGGAACATTTTCTGCTGGAGTGCTTGCTCTGGGTCTTGCACAAGTATCCGTGTTCTTTGGTCGAGCTTTTGAGGAGATTTTTATTGTGGTCTCTATTTTTATTGCTGGTTGGGCGACATTCTTTTCATCTTTTTTGGTGAAAGCATTTTACTTTAGTTGATGGCAAAGTTGGCATGATGATATATGTGGATGTGTAGGATGACAGTGTTGTTGTGGTGTGCAGGGTTTATCGCGAGCTATGTGAGGCTGTACCCTGCGATGAAGCAATATGAATATGGCTTTCGTGTATTCTTGTTGACATTTTGTATTGTGTTAGTGTCTGGGAGAACTGGATTGCAATTTTTCTCAACAGCTTTTTACAGATTGCTTCTAATTGGAATAGGTGCCGGTGTAAGTTTGTCTGTGAATATTTGCATTTATCCCATCTGGTCTGGGGAGGATCTGCACAAATTGGTGGTGAAAAATTTCAACGGAGTTGCCGCATCTTTAGAAGGTTTTCCTCCTCCTTTCTCACTTGTCACTTGGATTCTGAAATATTAAAAGAATGCAAAACATTATATACAACATTAAAGTAGAATTTTAATTTCAGGCCTTTTAACATTATAAACTAAATTAAAAGTTACTTAAGATATTACTTTAAAGGGAGACACCACCAGAAAAAAAAAAACTTTTACAAAACTCAACGGTCTATCAATAAATCACAATCTATAATTGAATGAAATTTTGAGACTTCTTTAGGCTAACGTACTAGAAGCTTGTAAAAGTGTAGGTTTTGCTTAGTACTTTTCAGTTTGGTTACTTAATAAGGGTTTTCAGTGCTTGGTATTTGCGTTGGTTCCACATGTTTTTGGTCTGCTCTTGCTGCTGACTTTCTAGGTTGGTTCCTGTGGTACTTTCTTTAGGTTGTGTAAATGGGTACCTGCAATGCGTTGAATATGAGAGGGTACCATCCAAAATACTAGTTTATCAAGCCTCTGATGACCCTCTTTACCGGGGTTATAGAACAGCAGTGCAATCGTCAACTCAAGAGGAGTCTCTGGTATCCCTTCTTTCAAGACTTAAAAGCTAAAGAGTCAACATCTTACAAGTTCATTTTTGGTCTTGCAGTTAGATTTTGCACTATGGGAACCACCTCATGGTCCATACAAGATGTTCAATTATCCTTGGAAAAGCTACGTCAAAGTTAGTGGAGCATTGAGGCATTGTGCTTTCATGGTCATGGCAATGCATGGATGCATACTTTCAGAAATACAGGTGAAGTAAACATTTTGTTCTCCTATTTGTATTTTTTCACATCACACAATGGTTGTTTGCTTAATCTATCGTTTCTGCTTTCAGTCCTCTACAAGCACTCAGCAACATCTAAGATTACATGAACTTCACTTCCATGAAAATGATTACTGGCTGGTTTAGATAGTAGTTCTGCATGCCATTAATAAATTTCCCGTCTTTTTGGTACATAATTACAAATTTAAATGTATAGTGTGTTAACTATTTAAGTTCATGCACATTTAGTGGTTCACATCATCAACTAATTATAAATAATTTTGAATTGATTTGGAAAGTAATTATTATAAAAATGAATAGATTTATTGTGATTATATACCAGTATACATCTATATATACTATTTATGACACAGGCGCCTCCAGAGAAGAGACTGGCTTTCTTTGAAGAACTTCAGAAGGTTGGTATTGAAGGAGCTAAAGTATTAAGAACACTAGGAAGCAAAGTGGAAAAGATGGAAAGGCTGAGCAGCAGTGAGATCCTCTTTGATGTTCATGAGGCAGCGGAACAATTGCAGATGAAGATTGACAGATTGTCATTCCTCTTAGTCAACTATGAGAGCTGGGAAGCTGTGAGACTGCACAAGGAAAAAGAACATGAGAATTTGATGAAACGAGAGATCACTTCCCTGAATGAAATAAGAGATGATCCAAAACTTAACATAAAAATAGACCCTTCAACGCCAAGCAAGAGCTTATTGGGGCGCTCAAATTTATCTCACTGCTCAGAAGGGACGATACCTGAGCCAGAATCCAACGTGTATGAAAGTGCGAGCTCCTTAACTTTGGCAACATTTGCTTCAAACTTAATCGAGTTTGTTGCGAGGCTTCAAAATCTCGTGGATGAATTTCAAGATCTTAGTGAGAAGGCTAACTTTAGAGACCCCTTTGAAGTGGAACAACCGTTGTTGAACTAGGAGTTACAGTGCCCTTGTTTATTGATTGGAGGCCATCAAAGATGTCAAACAAAGATATTCTGTTTCACTTTTAAGAAATAACTTTGAAGTTGAAGCAGCATTCCTTTTTCTGGAAAAAGTGGGAGGATTCAAACTCAGTCCAAGATATCTCACCTTTATGTACTCTGTATGATTTAAAAATAACCATCTGTGATTTGTTTTGGTATGTGAATGTGTCTTTTCAAACTGCTGAAATTGTGCAATATGAGCTTCTATTTACCGAGATTAAACAAGAACTTGAGCTTGAGAAAAGGTTTCAAGGATAAAATGAAGCCAAGAACACGAGCTCAAATTTAAACAAACTGTTACAATAAGGATTCCTCGAAGTGATGCATGAATTTTTCCTGTCGAGCAAGTATTTTTATACCTTTCATGTAAGAATGAGAACACTAAGTATAAAAGAAAATAGAATTTAACCAAAATGCGGTGCCTAATTATTTTATATTGTCATTTAGTCTTGCATAATGAAGTCAAAAGGTAAGAAAATGAGATATTTAATACTATTAAAAGATTAAAACAAAAGTTCTACTCTAATATAAAAAATATTTGAGCTTCATTGTTGTTATTTTGATAAATCTTAATACAGTACCATCAAATAATTTATAAGATAAACATGAAATAAAAATTTGGTAACTATGTTAGAAATTAACAATGATTTATAACTTACAGAAACAAAACTAATTTCTTTATTAAACTAAGTAAAAAATGAATTACTTATGTATGTTTTTGGTGGTGATATTTCAGTTTTTTATAGTTTATTTGAGTGAAGAAGTAAGAAGGGTTTTTTTTTTTGGTGATCTTACATGTACAACACTTTCTTTCCTATTAATGAGATGAAATAGAAGCAAAATTAAGTTTTTAATCAGTAACATTTTTATACAATTGATTTATTACTCTATTTATTATCAACTATTCTTTTACTTAATTAAAATGTTTTTTTATTTCTTTCACAATTGTTTTTTATTTATGAAAATAACACAATTTTTGCCTTTTTACTTATTTTACTCATGTTTTTCCTTCTATTAATCATGCAAACAAAATGCTATAATTAACATCCCTTAATCATTACTTCCTGTTTGGTTTTGTGCTTTTTAAATTTTTCACATGCATTAAAGTGACATTGGAAATCATTAAAAAAAATTTATACTTTTCAATAAAAATATTTTTTCAGAAATTACTATATAAATACATCTCTTAATTTTTTCATAATAATCAAATTGTGTCCTGTTATTTTTTTTTCTAAGTTCAAAACAACTAATGATGAGTATAACAATGAATATTTCACATTTGACCATGGAAAATTAGATTTTTTCTTCTTCTAAAATACCAAACAATATGGGAGGGTATAATATATTTTTTGAATATTTTAGTTACAAAAATGTAAATAAAAAAAGTGAACTTGCTGAACGCACCGTTTTAAAGTTAAACTCAGACCAGCATAGGTGATTCTATGTCATTTTTGTGTGCGACCACGTTGCTTCCCTCTATGGTCTTCTTCCTCTTTCTTCAATGGTCTTAGGGTTTCCAGTGTTCATGCATAGCACCTTGCAGTGATGCTTGTTTGAGATTCTTTTTCAACTATATCCAACGATTTACTAGGAGAAGGTCGCAATTTCTCCATCTTTACGTTTCGGTAGCTGGTGAAGTCGAAAGATATTGACACTTTTACTCCACAGGGTACAATGTTTTGCTCTTCTGTCTTGATTTGACACACTAGGTTTCTTTCTTTCTTTTTTCCACTAAATATTTTGATATCGGATTTTCAATTATTTTGATTTTATGAACTTTTGACATGTTTTAGATGTCGCATGTATGTCTCTTAAGTTGGAAAACCCTAAGTAAATTTAATTGAATCTTATAGTTGTGCTCGGGCTGGTGCACACTAAGCATGCAATTTGAACTAGCAGTTGCTACTTGCCTGCTCTTAAACTCTTGGTTTGGTTTCATATGCTTTACTTTAAATGAAGCTGAAAAAAATGGGTGAAGTAATGTGTATGGAATTAGCTAATTAAGATGGAGTTCCAAGTTGAAGGTTTTTAAGTTTTAATGGTTTATACATTTAAGTAAAGCTGAAGATAATTGGGTGAAGTAATGTTATGGAATTAGTTAATTAAGATGGAGTTCAAGTTCAAGGTTTTTAAGTTATAATGATTTATACATTTAATTAATGCTGGCTTGTTGATGTATTAGTATTTGATGTTGGGTGCACTAATAACTGTACTTTGATTAACTTGCTGATTCTACCAGAAATATTGGGAACAAAGCAAAATGTCTATGGCGGATGAACCACTCTATCCAATAGCAGTGCTTATAGACGAGTTAAAAAATGATGACATTCAGCTGCGATTGAACTCGATACGGAAGTTATCTACGATTGCCCGGGCTCTTGGGGAGGAGCGAACGCGTAGGGAGTTGATACCCTTTTTGGGTGAGAATAATGATGATGATGATGAGGTACTTCTTGCAATGGCAGAAGAGTTGGGAGTTTTCATTCCTTATGTTGGGGGAGTGGAACATGCTAGTGTGTTGCTGCCACCGCTGGAGACACTTTGCACTGTTGAGGAGACCTGTGTAAGAGATAAAGCTGTGGAATCACTTTGTAGAATTGGATCTCAGATGAGGGAGAGTGATTTAGTTGAATATTTTATACCATTAGTGAAGGTCAGTTAATGTTATTATATCTGACATTTTTCCATTTCACTTATGGTTTGAAGTGAATCTAATTATCATATTAATTTTACTTTTTCTTTCATGGGAGTTTGAAAAAATTATATCACGTGAGTAACCTGATACTTAATGGGAAACTGGTTGGTTAATGGATCTGCGTTTATAACTTTTTGTTGTTGCTCAGTTCACATTCTGTCCTATTCATGCTATTACTTTTTTGTTCAGAGGTTAGCAGCAGGTGAATGGTTTACTGCCCGGGTCTCTGCATGTGGGCTATTTCATATTGCATACCCTAGTGCACCAGAAACAGCAAAAACAGAGTTGAGATCAATATACAGTCAGTTATGTCAGGATGACATGCCTATGGTTAGAAGGTCAGCTGCATCAAATCTTGGTAAATTTGCTGCAACTGTTGAATATGCTCATTTGAAGGCTGATGTCATGTCAATTTTTGAGGATCTAACTCAAGATGGTAAGTGAATACATATTTTTGTTTTTTTTTTTTGGTAGAAAGTGTGTCATTTCTCTAGTTCATCGACATGTGATTTTGTTGTAGAGTCTCCTGACTTTGCTGTACTTTTTTAATATGCTCTTGTAATCTTGGATCAGATCAAGATTCTGTGAGATTGTTGGCTGTGGAGGGCTGTGCTGCTCTAGGCAAACTATTGGAGCCACAAGATTGTGTTGCACATATTCTACCGGTTATTGTGAACTTCTCCCAGGTATGTGATAGGAACTAACTAACTAACTATATATATATATATGTATATATATATATATGTATATATATATATATGTATATATATATATATGTATATACATATATACATATATATATATATATGGGTGTGTGTGTGTGATAGGTCAACCGAACAGCGCATAAGATAGTAAAGACCCTGCCTCAAGTCAGCATACTTACCCAGCCTTTTCCCAAATTATTCCTTACCTCCGTCACCCCTCAGACCTCAGTTCATAATGGTGTGATCATGGATAAGGACGGATCGCATCAAGGAGGAGAAGCTATGGATAAAGATAAAGAGAGGGAGGCAAAGGAGGAGCTCGACAGTGTTAGAAAACTTTTCAAGAAAGTAGCTAATCCTCATATAATAAACCCTGTGTTTGGGTATAAGATTAGCTAGGAAGCATGTAAGGATAAGACTTCTAAGTTAGTAACCTAGTGTTTGGTTACATGTAGAGGGGGAAGGTAGCGTTTGGTTTCCTTCCCACACACCTCCTATATAAGGAGTGCTTTAGACCATTTTTTAAACACTTTTGGATGGAAATCAATAGAAAGCATTTATGCTTAAGTTTGTGCGAAGTAGAAAATTTCTCTCTTTTAGAGTTTGTATTTTGAGAGTTAGGTCTCAAGTGGCAAATTACCTTTATCTCATGAAGGTGAGTGGTGATAGATTCTTTTCCAATTCCTAGTCAATCTTGATTCATATTTTTGAATAGATTCCAAGAAAAACTATCTTTCTCAAAGGTGATTTTTTTTTCCCCTAATCTTTGCTTTTCTTTCTCTTAGTCTTATCTTTTCTCTGTCTTGTTTCTTCTTCTCCATTATTTCAGTGCCATAGTCTTAACTTTAGCCAACCAAGCACCATCCAAATGTCTCAAAACCACCACTCTCTTGCTTGAAAAATATGTCTGATCATAACCCAATAACACACCAACCAAAATATCTTTTCCATCAAAGGTAATGATCATCACCAAGAAGCCTCCAAGATGATACCATTGGTGCAAATCTTCCACACCTTCAAGTAGACCAAACCTATTCCTTAAGTCAAAGAATCCATGGTTGAAGCGTATGATAGTTGATCCTTTCATTAGAGAAACCTTATTGGGCTCTCATCACATCACATTTCCCCAATCCCCCAGTGATGCCTGATCCCTCTCTGTTATTTCCCTCCCTTATCAACCAAATTGTTCTCTTCCATGCCTCCTTCTTTCTCTTATGCACTTTTAGGCCTTTATCCTTTTCATTTGGCCTTCATGGCTTTCTTCTATACACATTATTTATGAGCTTATCAGTACATTTAGGAGTGGGCAAAATCTATGATTATCTATGATTAATATCTTTTCGTCATTATGCTCATATCATATTTTCTATATGGACGATTCAGCTCCAAGCTATGTGCTTTATCAGGTAATGTGACTTTCTTCTTATGTTATATTATATATTACCTGTGACTTGAGAGTCACCCCCTTCAAACTAGTAAAATTTAATGTCATCAGTATATAACCTTAAATTTTTTTTCTTTTTGCTGAAATTCCTGGAATCTATGGAATACTATGTATCTTTTAAAATGACACAACGGAATTTAATATATCTTTTTTGTGAAAGAAATTACAGGAAGGTTTTGGGGACGAGGAATGATTTTCTGGCCATTCTGAATTACTAGGAAAAAAAATTCATTATGCCAACGGATCAAAATGTTAGGAAATTAGCAATGTACTTATTTTAATAAAATTTGTTAATAATACGAACTTGTTAGAGAAAAGAGTAATTTAATAAATGTTATTAAGTATTT